CAGGATGGATCCCTGAGGGGCGGGAGCAGGCCAGGGCCACACTTCTTTACGCACCTCAGGGAACTGTTAGGAAGGCAGGCAGGCAGGCAGGCAGGCAGGCGGGCAGGCAAGCCTATAGGAAACAAATGCTATAAATGAGATTTAAACAGGGCATTACCTGCTTCAGGGGCGCCTGGGTGGCTCAGTCAGTAAAGCATCTGACTTCGGCTCAGGTCATGATCTCCCAGCCTGTGGGTTTGAGCCCTACGTCGGGCTCTATGCTGACAGCTCAGAGCCTGGAGCCTGCTTCAGATTCTGTGTCTGTTGCTCTCTGCCCCTGCTCTACTCCTGCTCTATCTTAAAATAATCAACATTTGAAAAAAAATTTTTTCTAACCGCTTAAAAAAAAAACCTGCTTCAGATCTCAGTCCTGACTTACAGCAAACATCAAGTGCACAAGAGAGTCAAGGCGAAGTTGACTGGCTTGGGGAAGGGTCGCGGTTGGTGTGTGTGGGTGGGGGGGGGGGGATGAGGCGCTCAGAGCACTGGAACTGTCCGCAGGTTGAGGGTTTCCAGCGACTTCCTCTCGCCTGACTCCACTTTGTCAGCAGTGGGCAGAGGCAACCGCGACTCCCCCCACGCCTGGGACTAAGCAGGCTCGGCAAACTGGAAGCCTTTTCTGGGGCCCAGGGGCACGGGAGGGAAGTCAGGCTGCAGAAAGCCAAAGCAGAGGCCCGGCGGGGCAGGCTGGGCCAAGAGCGGGGTGGCTGACGTCTTTTAAAAACAGCACAGCTGCAACCTCGCTCAAGAGGAGGAGCAGAAAGAATGATCCTATAAGAGCAGGGGAACACTGGCCTGGACCGGACGGACGGACGGACGGACGGACGGCAGGCTCTCCCGGAAGGGAACACTGTGAGAGAGCACGGCTCAAGGAGAACAGGTTTTGGAAAAATTTTATTGCATTTTTGTTTCCATGTGGAAGCACGGACAGAATCGAGAAGAGGCAGCACGTTCCACTGTTCATGGAGAATCACATGGCTGGACGAGTTTCCTCCCTATCCTGATCTGGGCTTCGAGAGCCTCAACCCTACCCCACCCCAAGCACAAGCTAAAAAAGGAGCTTTGTGGTGATCACATAAAACAAACAAAAACAAAAAACAAATCCACGCGTCTGAATCCACAGATGGTCAGTGCTCAGATGTCTGATTTCTGCATTTGCGGGGCTGCTTCCCGTGCCGCCCCGTCCCTCATCTCCCCTCTATCTACAGGCCTTCCCCTTTCAAATGGGCTTGCACACAGGAAGTGCCCGCAGGTGGAAACCGGCCGGTGATCCCTGATCCGGGGAGTAGGGATGGCCCCCTGCCAGCTTTCAAAAGTCTGGGGGCTGTGAGGTCACCCCTGCATGGCGGGGAGCCCCACGCCAGGACGACAGCCTCCCAGGTTAAAGTACAGAGAAGACGTGGGTACGTGCCCACTCAGGTGTCTAAAATATCAGAAAGGGAGCCCACTTTAGCGATTTACAAAATGGGTGGGGGGTGGGGGTGGTGGACGGCGGGATGGGCGCATTGGGGACTGTGCTGTGTCACTCTGTCACTCAGCATTATGGCCGCTTAACTGACACCTTGCTAGGGCGGGAGGCGGGGGAGAGGGCGGGTGCTGAGAGTAAGCAGACAAAGGAAACCTGAAATCGCGTGATTTTTTTTCTCCTCTTGACTGTGTAAGGCATTTTGAACTGGAAAAACTTCTCTCCTTCACACTCGTCCAAATAATCAGCGGGAATATAACTGGTGATTCGGAATACAAATAAAGACCCCTTCGATCCCCCCACCCTCCCCAGAAAAGTCACTCTAAGCACCCCGAGCCCGTGGTGTGCGAGGAGGCAAACTGTCTCTGCGCGACGTTTGAGGCCACCGTGTCAAGGGCCCGTCTCAGGCTCCAGCCCCGCCCCTGCCCCTCTTTTGGCGTCTTCGTTGAGGTGCTAAGTCCCATCGGGGCGCCTGCCACCGCCTCCTGGGCAGCGGGAGGTCACGGCCCTCCTGCCTCTCCTGCGCATCCCCAACCGGGCGTCCGGGCCGGGCCATCCGCGAACCGGCGTTAAGTCTCACTCAGTTAGTAGAGGCAGGCTTGGCCCGGAGACCGCAGCCTCCACGTTAGTCATGCCAGACAGACAGCAGAGAGGAAACCAGAGGCCAGAGAAGTGATTTTAAAAAAGGGAGGGGGGGAAAAAAAGGAAGAAGAGCAGCTTCGGTCACCAAAAAATAGAAAGGATGGTCTTTCAAAAATAAAACGTGGGGACATTTTTTTTTTCTCTGCAATGCTCAGCCATTTTACTTGAGACGTAAAAAAAAAAAAAAAAGAAAAAAGAAAAAAGAAAAAAGTTTTAGAATAGTTGTTTTGCTTTCTCGATTTACACATTCATGAGGACGGAGGGGACGGTAGTGCCGTGATGTGGTTTGTGTCTGAGGGGCAGTGCTGGCCAGGGTCCTTCAGACCACATACTGGTACGGGTCTGCCTTCCCCTGGTCTGGCGTGGCAAAGGGGCTGGCCCAGCCTAGAGAGAAGGGGTGGCCGAAAACGGCTTTCATGTTCATCCATTTTGTTTTTTTAGCCCATCTTCTCTCTTCCTTTTTCAATTGTTCTATTCCCTGAAAACAAGAACAATCAGACTTTCAGTCAAGCACTTTCATGGCTGTGGTTTTTGGGGAGGGACGTCCGTTCGCCTGAGGTGAATGGAGTAAACGCTTCCTTTGAAAGCCATAAAGCTACCTGCACGACACGGTTCTCTTCTCTTCCTCTCATAAAAAGTGTTAAAGGGAACAACAAAAAGCATGCTTTCGGCGGGGGTGGGGGGGTGGGGCACCGAGTCACAAGCCCCTCCAGGAAGGGAGGGGAAAATGAGCAAAGGCACAGGCCGCTGAGCCAGGATTTCTGGTCGTGCCGTCAGGTGGGTTTTGCTAAGCGAAGGCGCACATCTACGCGGCCTGGGCTCCGCAGGGGCGCTTCCAGCCCGGTGCTGGGCCTGGCTGCGTGTGGGAACGCGGAGAAGGCTCTGGGGCAAGAAGCCTCAGAGCGGCAGGGGCTTGCGATCATGAGAGCCGATGCTGGCCTTTCATCTGGGCTAAGATCAAGTGTGACGCCATGACCACTTTGCAGACAAAAAACCCCCAAAAAACAAAAAACAAAAAAACAAAAGAAAGAAGGAAGGCAACAAATCGAATGACCGCTCTGGCGCGGTTAGTCTCGCCAGCCTGGGAGGTCAGGAAGCACCCTGCTCAGCGGGAAGGTGGAACGGGAGGGAGAGACCAGGGCTGAGGGGAGAAGCCACCGCAGAGGAGGAAGGAAAGGGATTAGTAGAGGTTAGAGGGGCTGCCTGGCCAGCCAGCCAGCCCCAGGCATGGCAGAGGGCCTCCTAGTGCTCCCCTGGGAAGACGCGGGGCCAGAGGCTGCCTCGGTGGTGGTCCGGAGCCTGGGCTCCTCCCCCACAGAGTCTCACGGGGAGGGAGGGCTGGGGAGGAAGAGTTCCCTCCCTTCGTCCCCTTCGATGGAGCTGGAGAGCGGGCAGGGCCGGAGGGAAGAGGAGAGAAGCGGCCTGTCTGCCATGGTCTCCGGAGAGGAGGAGGAGCAGGGAGGAGCCCGAGGGCCCGGCCTAAGTGAAGTCTCCATTCACGGCTGGGGACTGGGTGGATGTGGGTGGAGGGGAAGGCACCCTTTCGCAGGCTGTGGGGCCCTTTCTTCTTTTCTCCTTTCCTTTCTGACACAATCCGCTTCAGGAACGGCCCCGGAAGGGAAGAACAATTAGGGCCCGGGCTGTGTGAGCTTTCCTTCTGTCTCCCCCACACTGTGGCCTGTGGGGCCTGGCAGCTTCCACAGGGGGCGGGGCCGGACAGTCACCCCTGGGGTCCTGCAGGTCTTATGCAGAGAAGCTGGCTGCATTTACTGCTTGGACACACAGCTGCAACTATACCACGGGCTACTATTTTTAAAGAAACTCTTACAATGATGCTATCTCTTAGGGTAAAAAAGTTGCTGAGAGTCCCCCACCCCTCCACATTCTGCACGGTCGGCTGGAATTCCCACAGACCTAAAAGGTGTTGCCTTGGCTGCCGGGGAGCGCCGAACACCGGATTTCCCACAGCTGCAGGGCAGCAGGGGAGGGGAGTGTGCCTTCCTACGAGCCCCCGTCTGAGGCTGACCAGGCAGCAGCCCAGAGCTGCCCCACAGGGCCCGTAGATGACCGAGGCTCGCCACCTCAGGGGGGCCTTGGAAAGCCGGGAGTAGTGGCGGGAGGGACCCACGACCTGGGGCCCCTCACCTGGAACCCGAAGCCAAAAAAGGAAGGAATGCCCACATCACAGCAACGGATTGACCACCTTGAGGCTTTGGACACTTAGGACAGTCGGGAGGGGGATCTCAGTCCTGCCCAGCCAGCAGCCTGGACGTTCCCAGAGGTGCGGCTATGGGTGGGTGGAGGCAGGGGTGAGGGGTGGGGAGAAGGCAAAGGAAGAGCTGGGCCAGAGCTGGGCCACGCAGAGGTACATAGTGGCCAGGTGAGAGCTTCTGCCCACCGCTCGGCGGGGCCTGAGGCAGGCTGTCTCCTCTGGCCCTGCTCACGAAGTCACCTCCTCCGGGAAGCTCACCCTGCCCGTGCCAGCTAGACTAAGGCCCCCTTTGTCCATCATCCTCTCTGCAGGCCCACGGCCCTCGGATGGGAAGGATGTCCCCAGGCCCAGCAGGGTGCCTGACACAGCACCGTGTCTCAGACCGAGCCGTCACGGGGGGGACAAAAGGCCTTGTGGCAGAGGGCACCGTTCCCCAAGGCTGCCGGGCCCCATTCCTGGTGCGACCTGCCGGGCTGGCCCCAAGGAAGGGCCTGTGGGTGCGTGTGCGCGTGCGTGTGCACACGCCCTGCACACCTGGGCGCTGGCCGCCGGGCTCCCGGCCTGGCCTCCGAGCAGACCACACCCACCCTGGGGCCTCCCGAAAGCCCAGGGGTGGAGCTGGCGGGTGGGCGGCCCGCTTACCGTTTCGTCTGTGCAGATGGAGTGGACCTGGGTCCCAAACATCACTGACGTGAAGATGAGGAAGAGCAGGCCCTCAAAGCACAGCAGGATGAGGAGGACGACCGTCGTGGGCGGCGAGAAGGAGCTGCACCCTGCAGGGGAAGGGGCACGTGCCACCGGGGCTGCTGTCCCCACCCGTCCTCGTGCAGCACCCGGCGGCCCCCCAGCCCCTGTTCCGTGCTCACTCTCTCTCTTCCCGGCCAGTGTGTCTGTATCCTGGTGCCAAGCACAGTGCCTGGCACGCGGAAGGGTGCAGAAAGGCCTCAGGGCTGAGGCACGCAAGCAAGGAGACCCTCCTCTCCTCAGAGCCTCAGTCTGGTTCTGGCTCGGCTGTGGGTTTTCTGGACGTTCCAGTCCCTCTCTACGTCTGGGTGACTGCAAGGGGCAGGTCTGGAGGCTCACTCCGTGGTTCTGGGAGTCCGGGTTTAGGAGGGGGCAGCCTGGCTGCCAGGCTCGGCCCTGAGCCTGGTGTGAACGGCGCCCCGCGGAAAACGCCCTTCTCAGGAGCGTGCGCACCACTGAGACGGTCAGTCCGACCCGAGACCCGCCTGGCGCTTTCACTCTCCCGGCCTGTCTCCGAGCCCAGGCTGACTGGGGGTGTGACCCGAGACAAGTCACTGTCCCCCCCAGGCCTCCGCTCCCTCCTCGATAGAGTGGCGAGGTTTCGCTGCTCTGTCTTCAGCAGCAGAATCTTCTGTCTGAACCAAGTCTGAATCAGAAGCCCCCCCCCCCAAACCCTGCTGGAGAGAAAAGCAGAGGTGCTGGGGGAACCCGGGGGGTGACGGGGGGAGACACTGGGCGGTGGGGGTCCCAGCTGGCGGGGCTCACTACCGCTGGACTCCTACGGTAGGACGCCTGCCACCCCAGGTCGTGGTGCACGTTTCTGGTCGCCCCTGTGCACAGGCTTGTTTCCCTGGCTGGAGGGGTCCGAGCCGGGAGGGCAGGGTCGGGCTTCCCCGGGCTTTGGGAACCCAGGGAATTTGGGGATTCAGTGCCCCTCTGAGCCACCCTGCTGCCTCCCTCATAGGAAGGTGAGGAGGGGCAAGGGGTTCAAACCCAGGAATGGGCACTGTATGGGTGGTGGGGTGAGGAACACCTCCTCCAAATGCCTTGATCTCCTCACACTTCCCTCGGGACTTAACAATGCCTCCAGAAGTTTCCCTCATGGCTTCCTTGCTGCAGGGCTGGGGTGGGGACCCTGGGTGGCGCCGGAGCGGCAGGTGCCTGCCTGGCCTGTGCACTGGGCCAGCTGGGGGGCAGGACACGGTTCCGCGATCAGGCTGACATGGCCAGCTGAGGATCCCGGAAGCCACTCCCGACCACGAGCTCCTGCTAAGATGCCGCCATGGATACTCGGCTGCGGCCCCTGCACCGTCACCCATCACTGCTCAGCCGTGGATGAGCAGCCTTGCGTCCAGCTTGTGCAAGCAGGGTGTGTCCCCAGAATGAGGGCACGTGAGTTGATGTTGAGGGGAGGGTAGACTGGTAGTTCTGCGCTCCCTGGCTCTGGCTTCCGTCTCTCCCACTGTGTTCATAGCCTCTGGGGCCCACTCGGGAGAGCAAGGATGGAGGGCAGGCCGTGGCACTGGGCTCCACCTCCAGCCCCAGGGCAGTCGAGGTGGCCAAGGAAGGAGCAAAGACCTCCGTCCAGGGAGCACGTGGTGGTGACCATCCCCCACAGCCAATCTCAGGCTTCCGCTCTGGGCACGGTCGTGCCACGGGACCTTAGCTAGCTGCCTTAGCTGCCACGGGAACTGGGGTCTCAAGCCTCTTCCATCACGAATCCTGACTGCAGATGATCAAGAACACGCAGGGGGACCCGGGGCACCGAGGTCATCCAGGCGGGGCTGGTGCTTGAATCGCTGCCCTCTTCTTAGCTGTGTGGGCTTGGGGACTTGCTCAACCCCTGTGAGCCCCAGCTTTGGCCATCGCTAAGTGGGAGCATCTTCGTGCCCTGCAGGCTTGCTGAGGCTGAAACGAGGCACTGCTCGAGAAGGCCTGGGCGCCACAGCTGACCCTCGGCGGCCACTAGTGAAATGGCCCCTACCAGCTGCGGTCCGGAGACTGAGGCATCCTGCCTCGCTGATGGTGCGTGTCCCTCTCATCGCTGCCCTTGTCTGTTAGCCTGATGGCGGTGGCGGCGGAGGGGGTTGGGGGAGGGGCTGAGAGAGAGTTGATAAAACGTCTTTGTCAGACTCCACTGTCAAGTCGCCAAGGCCACATGTGAGGTTGGACGGATCCCCAGAGCCTGGCGGGACGGGTGTACTTCCAGAACGCTCACCGAGGACCGTGCTGGGGCCTGCCCAGCTGCGCAGGATGGTACAAATGCCCCCTACTCTTCTCCCCACTATCCCCTAGCTTGACCCTCCCCTCTCCGGCTGGCGCCAGAACTGCAGTAGTCACGGAAACTGGGGGACACGGGGACATGGACTGAATTGTGTCACACGCAAAGTTTGTATTTGGAAGCCCCAAAGAACCCCAGGTAGTGTTATCTGGAGATGGGGCCTTTGCGAGGTAATGCGGCTTAGACGAGGTCGTGAGGGTGGGGGCCCCTCACGGTGGGGGTAGGGCCTGCATAAGAAGAGGCACCAGAAAGCGTGCTTTTCTCCCTCTGCTGTGTGAGAGGACACAGGAGAAGGTGGCCGTCTGCAGGCCAGGTAGACAGCCTGCACCAGCAACGGAATCAGCCGGCACCTTGATCCGGGACTTCCCAGCCTCCAGAAGGTGAGGGATAAGTGCTTAGGCCACCCAGTGCATGGTGCTTGGTCACGGCAGCACACGCTGATGGAGACTCGTGGGGTCTCTTCCGCTAGGCCAGGCCAGGCTGCACAGGGCAGGGGGCAGGGCCGCCGAGGGTGGAGGTGGCGGATGCAAACAGTGGGCAGAGGCAGGGAAGGCCTCTTCACAGCCGGCTGGGAGCTAAAGATCCCAGCCTTCCCACAGCCTTCCTGGTTCCTCGGAAAAGAACAGCAAGACGGCGCCCGAGAAGACGGTATGTGCAGGAAGAGCGAACCTTCTAGAAGACGGGGGAAGAAAACGGGGACCCGCCTGCTGTTTCTGCTCGAGACAGCTGTCTCACAGACTGTGTGCGCGTGCAAGATCTCGCTCAGCACAGGGCCTCTCCAGCACCTCTTTAAACTTCTGTTTCTTGTGTCTTTTTTATTCTCCTTCAAAATCATACATGGCATTTGCTTCCTTCAGCATCTACTTTTTCCCCCAGGATTTACGTGGTCTTCTGGTTGGAGCTCCTCCTTCGGCGTTTGCGCAGCGGGACGTGTACTTCAAAGTGGGAAGGTTTGCTCTACGATCTTCATGTAGATTGGTAATTAAGTAGTTAAGACACATACACACACACACACACACACACACACACACACACACCCCTCCAAAAAAACCAACCCAAAGTTCAAAATGGATTTCTGGGAGTTCGGAAGGAAATGACTTTTCATTAAAGTGCCTCTTCTTAAAGACATGGAAACAAAGGTCCTCTCCCTGGCAGGGCTCCCGCGCCCTGGGACAGGCTTCTCGGGGGGCCTGCATTTCCCCCTGGGGTGCGCTCGAGCTACGCGGTCTGTCGGCCTCACTGCTGTACCTGTGGGACTGACTTTAAGGAGCTGCTTTTTTTCATGAAAAGAGATTCGGGCCTCTGCTGTCCCTTCCCTGGCCTGCTGCTGATCTGATAAAACTAACACGGCGTTGGCCCCTGGGACCGTGGCACAAACCAGGAGCCCGCCCCGCCTGGGTCACACACCGCCCCCCGGGGACAGGGAGGGAGGCTCTGGCACATACTCACTTGTCCAGTCTTCTTCAAAGCAATGCAGGAAGTGGAATCCCACCATGATGAGGGCGTGCAAGGAAATGAGCGCTATGTACATCTGAAACAGGAAAGCAGGGCAGACGCCGTTGTTGTGAGAACCTTCCGACCACGCAGGCTCTGGGGACGGGGACGCTCAGAACCTCCCATTCTGGAACACTCAGTTAGGCTGAGGGCTGACCAGAAGAGAGCCAGGGAGGCATCTGCTGCCTGGCCTCCCAGTCCCACACCCCCAGCCCAGGGACTGAGGAGAGCAGCCATTCACTGGGAGTGCATGGAATAAGGCAGAAAAGAGCCCGCGACCAGGTGTGACCGGGGCCCTAGGTGGGCGGGGGTGCTCCGGGCCTGTGGCTTCCCTTCACTTGCAAAGTCAGGGGGCCGACTGCCAGTGGGTGCGCCAGCCCTCACACTAACTATCCCCTCCCCACCGGCAGCTGAGGGAGGGCTCGCCGTCACCAGAGCTGCCTTCTGTAGCTACTCACACTGGACCCTTGGGATGGGGAACAAGGCCCTTTCTTAGAGCCGATCCACTCGAGCCGGTTTTCTAGACGCTCCAGCGAAGGGCCCAGGAGCAGGCCCTTGTTGGGCAAGGGGTGCTCTGGCAGAAAGGTGCGGGTCTACACTGCCAGGCAGTATTCCGAACGGCAGTGAAAACCTAAGCGTGCTGAGAATTTTCGGAGGCCCAAAGCGCCCCATCGCTCCGCGGAGGGTGGGGCAGGATTCGGAAGCTGACTTACTGTAAACAGGACGAAGTACTTCTGGTTGTTCTCGCCGACGCAGTTATTGACCCAGGGACAGTGGTGGTCCATCTTCCGAATACACCGCTTACACACACTGAAAGGGCCCACAAGGCAGATCTTTAGGGGTGTCCTCATGGTGGCAGGGGCCTGAGGGGAGCGGAGAACCACCCCCCCACCCCCGCCCAGCTCCACTCCGCAGCTGGGGACTCCTCAGCCCTGCTCCGTGTCCTGCTGAGTGTGTGGCAAGGGGCCTGGAAGGCACGGTCAGGACCCCCAGGGTCATGTCATTCCAAACAGGGGACGGTCATTTGCCCACAAGGCCCCTTCTCTTGTTTAACACAGAAATGGGGTGGAGCTGAGGGGGTTTGGGTGGAGACTGATCTCTGGCGGTATCGGGTATTCTGGGCTGGGCACTGGGTTTAGAGAGGGAAGGAACAGAGAAGCAGTTTTGAAAATGTGACAGGCTGAGGAGGGTACAGGACGCAGCCACTCCTAACTCCCCGAAAAGACCAAGACCCCAAGGGCGCTGCAGGGAGGGCAGCCGACCAAAGAGGGGGCTGGAAGAGCACAGAGTGGGCTCAAGTGCACGACACTTCAGGGCAGCAGGAAAGCCCCTTCAAGAGCCTTTCAGCTCTAAGACAGCATCCACTTAGCTGAAAAGACAGAATGTATTTGAGCTTAAGTGTTGATCGGAAATCCTGTTAATCTGAGGCACCTGAGTAGTGGCTCAATCGTTCAAAGCACCTGACTTTGGCTCAGGTCATGATCTCGTGGCTCATGAGATCAAGCCTCGCATCGGGGTCTGAGCTGACAGTGTGGAACCTGCTTGGGATTCTTTCTCTCTTCCTCTCTCTCTCTGCCCCTCCTGCTTCCCAACTTGTGTTCGCGTGCACACACACACACTCTCTCTTTCTCTCTCAGAAAGATTAAAAAAAAAAAAGAAATTCCATTAATTTACAAATTACTAACTTGTGATTGGGCTCCTTTTGGGACTGAGACTGTTTCAAGCTTATGTGACAGCAAATCCTCTCCCCACTGTACTTTTTGGACAGTACAAAGAAATAATCTGAAACCGAGTACAGACTGATGGGGGCTTGGAGGCCCCTACACCCCAAACTCAGACTTAGACTCATTTGCCAACAGACAGGCTCACCAGAAACTGGTCCTTCCTCAATTTGTTAACATAGGCTCCTTGACATTACCTCGAGGGTATTGTTCAAAACAGTGTGAAATACTGTAAAGGTAAACTCAGAAATAAGGCGATCACAGGTTTTTCTTTTTTGAAAGCCCCTCAGTTCACCCCAGCTTTTCCTTCCACTCATTTCCACAGCTAACTTTCAGGTTGTTCATCAAGTGCCCCGTGGGCTGTGGCGAGTGGACCCTGGTGGAAGGGCTGTTATCAGGGTCACACGCGGTGAGCTCGCAGCTGCTGAGCTCTGGCTGGCTGACGGCCAGGGCAGGGAAAGCAGGGGAAGAGCCCTTCTGGGTGTGGATGTGAGCTGCTGCTCACACCCCAGGCCGGGGAGCGCAGACCTCTCTGAAGGGGGTCCCCACGGTGAGGCTTCGGCCAACTCGGGGCTGCGGGCTCATCCGCACCCCAAGGAAGACGTGCGGCCTTTTCTCAGCATGGCGTGGGCTTTGGTGGCAAGGCAGACCTGGGGCTACCGCACTCCCTTGGTCAGGCTGGCCAAGCTTGGAGCCTCAGTTCTCCCATCCACAGGAGGTAAGTGTTGTAAGGAAAAGGTGACAACAGATCGTGGGGGCCTGGCCAGCCTCCACCCTTGTTCTCCTCCACGGCTTTGAAGGCCCTCACTGATACAGGCGGAATGGGCCCATCTCACAGACGCTGGCCCAGCTACGGAGTCTCCCTGGGAGCCTGGAGGGCAGAGGAAGAAAGAGGCACAAAAGGGGCCTGGAGGGATATAGAGTCAGGTACCCATCTTTCTCCATGCGCATGCGTTACCAATTACAGAAATACACGTGGATATGTATAATGTATATTCCAATAGATAACACTTGTTCCCAGCAAGCAAGTTTAGTAATTTTTTTTTAATGTTTTTTATTTTTTTCTAGGAGAGAGAGAGAGAGAGACAGCGTGAGCAGGGGAGGGTCAGAGAGAGAGGGAGTCACAGACTGAAACAGGCTCCAGGCTCTGAGCTGGCAGTCAGCACAGAGCCCGATGCGGGGCCCAAACCCACCAACCGCGAGATCATGACCCAAGCGAAAGTCGGACGCTCAACTGACTAAGCCACCCAGACGCCCCTAGTAATTTTTTTAAATGTTTATTTTTGAGAGAGAGAGAGAGAGAGAGAGAGAGAGGGCACGCACATGAGGAAAGGGTAGAGAGAGAGGGAGACAGAGGATCCAAAGCAGGCTCTGTGTGGACAGCAGAGAGCCTGGTGCGGGGTTTGAACTCACAAACTGTGAGATCATAACCTGAGCCGAAGTCGGACGCTGAACTGACTGAGCCACCCAGGCGCCTCTGGTATACAAGTTTAAAGGTACAGACAAGGAGACAGTGAAGAAGGAGCTGCTCTCTGCATCCTGGGCCTCAGGCCCCACATTCCCTTCACGGAGCCACCTTGTGAGTCCTTCCTCAGCCTTCAGGTCTTAGTTCCCTCCCAATCTGGGGGCCAAACTCCCAAGGGGAGGGGCACCTGGGTGGCTCAGTCGGTTAAGCGTCCGACTTCGGCTCAGGTCATGATCTCATGGTTTGTGAGTTCGAGCCCCGCGTCGGGCTCTGTGCTGACAGCTCAGAGCCTGGAGGCTGCTTCAGATTCTGTGTCTCCCCCTCTTTCTGCCCCTCCCCTGTTCATGTTCTGTCTCTCAAAAAACCTCCCAAAACCATGAATAAACGTTGAAAAACAACAAAAGAACGCCAGCTCCCGAGGGTAACCACTCCCCTGCTCCAGGCTCCTGAGCAGTCTCTCTTCCGCCCATGCCTTCTCCCAGAGGTTTCCGGTGGGGGCTGTGAGGCAGTGTTTGCTCAGCAGCAGAGAGGGGTCAAGTGGCCATCCTCTGAAAGCCGCCCAGGGTTTCAACAAGCTGTCACATCCGTCCTTTGCTCTCCTCCCAGCCTTTCAAGAGACCCGGTGTGCACCCCAGGAAGTGAGTTTCACAATGGGCTCTGTGTCCCTGGGCGGCCACGCCAGAACAGCCCTCCTCCAGGGAGCAGGGACAAGTAAGCACAGCTGCCGGGCTACAGAAGGCGGCCCAGAGTGCCGGGCTCTGCGCTTCCTGCCTGTGCAGACAGAATGCCGAGGTGGTCCCTCTCCCCTGGCTGTTCAGAGGCAGGCTCTGGGGCTGGGAGGAGGCGCATGTGGGTGGGGGGGGGGGGTCCATCTGTGAGCATGGCCCTGATTGGGGGCCATCTGACCCATGGCTCTCAAAACTAGCAGCCTGCACGGTTCTGCACTTGGGGCCTGGAGAGCAAGGGCAAGGCCTGCCCAGGGCTGCCCAGGTGCTTGGCCTCAGGCGCCATCTGTCACAAGGAAGAAAAACATGCGGGCCTCCCACAACCCTGGACACCTCACTGGGGTATCGGTTACCTCAGAGCCAGCCTTCTTCCCATTCCCCGTGGCTGGGGGGCGGGCAGGGGGGTCTGTGGGGTCCCCTCCCCAGACAAGGCAGGCAGAGGGCCCTTTACCACCCTTGCTGCCCTGCAGAACCTCTCCTCTCTGGGGCTCCCCACTGCTTTCTCGTTATTGAGTGTGCCAGCCCCCGCCTGGGACTCCTCTCGGGCACCCCTTGGTGCCCCCTGTGCGACACACGGTGGGCAGACGAACTCCTGGGGCACAGGCACCTGGGCCTGGCAGCTCGTCCTCAGCCTGCGGTAACGGTCACTGGAAAGACCAAACATCTTCGATGGAGGTATTTTTTGATATTCCTGCCTTCAGGGTTTCCTGAGCCCCTCCTGTGTTTTTAAGTCCATGTTCCAGAAGACGGCGATGCCTCTACTGCCTCTTCCTCCAGGTTCCCTGCCATTTCTTAGCCCCCAAAGCACTTCTGTCAAAAGCCTGGTAGAACCCAACAAGCCCATGGGCTCACATGCACTCAGGCACTCTGCGCCTGCGTGCCGTCTTTGGGGAGGTCCAAGGGCTCCTGGCGCTCAGCCCCAGAGGAGCAGGCTGAGGCCCCTGGCCGGCCTGGGTGGTGGCCCGCCATGGGGACACGGCTGTGTCTGCAAGGGCCTGTGTCTCTCCCTCCAGAGGCGCTTGCCCAGCAGTGTCGGGTGAGGGCACGTCCTGGTGCTACAGATGGACGACAGCAAGCCTGGGAAGTGGCTCCGCCACATCAGAACGGGATGCCCAGCGGGGCAGAAGTACACAGCTACAGGGCACCAGGGGACCACGCTCCACACACAGGTTTTCATCTCACGCCTCCTTCACTGAGCTTAAAGTCGTAAGTGAAAAGGCATCTGCCACATCCCGGTCCCTGCTCTGCAATGGTGCCGGGTAAGGCAGCCCAGCGTAGTGGACAGAACGCTGCTCTCCGGTCCCCGCGCCGGGCTCTGGGCAGGGAAACCCAGCTCCTCCGAACCGCCCTCTGCAGAATGAGACCCGCTCCAATCTCCCAGGGTTAGAGCTGATGTAGGTCAAATGCTTTAAAAACAATACTCCTGCTGTATAAGTGGTATTGGCGGTCATAGCCACGAGCGAGAGGCAGTCTGTGACTGTCCAGCCTCAGCATGTATGTGTGTGTTGGGGTGTGTGTGTGTGGGGGGGGTGTAAGGCTTTGCTGGGGTCACAGGTCTCCACCTCCTTGTGTGAGAGGAACCTGTCGCATGAGCCTGACACCTTGGCTGTCCACATTAGCGTGAACAGGCTCCCTACGGGATTTCCACATGCCTGCGTGGTCCTCAGCACCAGGATGAAAGCAGTGTGGGGTTCCAGAGTGGCCTTCTGTGGAAAGAAGGCCCACCACACACCACTGGGCTGGAAGGAGCATCTACACGTCCCGGGGCAGGGGGCAGCTGCAGTGCCCACCAGAGCTCAGGGAATGGGGCCAGTTTTAAAGTCCACCAGCTCTGCTGGGAGGCCAGGAACCGGAGAGCTTGGTGTGCTCACAGACACGGACATGCACCTTCGCCCGAGCGGGAAGATGGACGTCAACTCTTGAGCCAGGCAGCAGGCCTCCCGGCTCCAGCAAAACCCAGCTCTGTCTGGTGTGCGGGGGACCGTGCATCTCCCAAACCGCTGGTCCCCAGACGGCCCAGGCTGCCACGAGCCCCCCAGAGGAGCAGCTGTTGGTGCACGCTTCCTGCGCAGGAGTAGGGGACACACGGACCGTCTCCCCGGAGTTCATCTGAGTCAGCAGCTCCTGTCTTGCTCACGCTGATCTGTTTACTAGCACTCAAAAATACCTCCCTCGGATCGTGCTGGCCAGACAGGCGAGGCAGAGGCGGTGAGGCAAATGCCGAGCAGGGGAGGAGCCTAGGGCCCGGGGAGGAAAGAGAAAGGAGCACTATGGTCACCGGAGAGTTCTTTTCTACAAAGGTCGCAGCTCCGCGTTTCTGTAGACCCTGTGCACCAGCAACGGCCACACACGCCTCTACCTTGGGGAGCCAGCTGACTCCGTCATTCAGATGTAACCCCCACAAGCCGGGGGGCAACGGGCCCCTTTACGGAGGACAGAGTCGAGCTCAGAGGGATGGGCCGCTTGGTCCAAGGTCTGGGACACATGTGTTGGGGACATGGCTGGCCTTCCAACACTGACCTCTCCAATGCCAAGGCCGGGGCCCGTTCCAGCACACTGGGCCGCATGGAGTCACGGCCTGAGGAGCCACATAAGCAAGCTGGGCCCCTTCATTCAGGTGATGAAAACAGCCGGCTTCCCAAGTCTCGGGTGGCAGGAAAGGCTAGACAGGAGCCCCCCCTGCAGATCTCAGAGGTCAACCGACCGCCCCACACTGGGCTCTGCGCAGACACTCAGCTCCTCCTAACTGCCAAACACCCCACAGGAGAAGCAACCCCCACAGGCCCTGTCCAAGCTCCTCGGCCCTCAGCCTCAGGAGGTGCCAACTAGCTGGGGAGGTCGGACAGAAAAACGTCCGTACAATTACATCAGGTCACACAATTCCCCACCCCCGCCCAAAACTGGGATTCTAGTGGAAAAAGACCCCAACCGGAGCCGCAAACACTGGGAGCCAATCCTGTCTCTGGTACTCACCAGCCATGTGACCTCGGTGTGACCCTCCCACCCCAAACACACACCAGTCTGAAAAAGGGACCAAGTGACATGTTTGTATTTCTGTAATTTATCATTAAAGTTCTGAGAAGACTCAGAACAATGAAGAAATCTGAAAACCAAAGGGAAAAATCACCACAGAGGAGATGAGGAAATGGCTCTTGAGGCTGAACTCTACGATTGTTACAACTTCTAGAAGTTTGTTGGGTTTGTTTTTTGTTTTTTTTTGTTTTTGCTTTTGTTTTTTTTTCCCCCCAAGTAGGCTTCATGCTCAGCATGGAGCCCAACTTGGGCCCTGAACCCCACGATCAAGACCTGAGCTGGGATCGAGAGCAGACGCTCAACCAACTGAACCACCCAGGAGCACCTAGAAGTTGTTTCTTTTTTTTTAAAGTTAATTTATTTTTGAGAGAGAGCACAAGCTGGGGAAGGGCAGGGAGAGGGGGGCAGAGGATCCAAAGCGGGCTCCACGATGTGGGGCCTGAACTCATGAACTGCGAGATCATGACCTGAACCGAAGTCAGATAGATGCTCAACCGACCATGAAGTTTTGTTTTGAAGAAAAGCCTTCATTCAAAGACAACCCTTTCACTACAATTTAAGCGAATAGGGCCCACCTCTTCAATGTGTCAAGTACTAGACACAGAATGATTTTCTAAAGCTTTGTCTCCTGCACTCTAAATTAAGTAATAAAGCTATGAGGTAGGAAGAGGAGGAACCCCCTCAATTTTATAGATACAGAAACAGGCAGAGACAGTTAAGGGCCTGGCAGGACCCTTCATCAGCTGTGGGAGAGTCAAGTCTTAGGATGGGTATCCCGAGCCCAAACCAAATGCTCTTTCCAATCTAGTGAGCTCACAGAGATGGGGAGGGAGAGTCACAGTGGCCGCTCCCTGCCCAGAGCAGGGGACGTTCAGAAGTCCTGGTGCTGAGGCTACCCGTCTGGGAAGCAGGTGGCTGTGGGGGCAGGGGTTGAGGGGTGCTACTCCAGAGTAGGTGAGAGGTGGGGGAGGGGAAGAGGCGAGCCCAGGTTGGGAAAAGGGGGGTCGGGGCGCACGCGTACCTGCAGTGGTGGGCTCGGTCAGGCTTGATGCTGCAGCATTTGGGACACTTATACACCACCTGCCCAGGCTTCAGCTGTAAACTCTCGATGAATTCTTTAGTGGCATTTCCTTTGGGCACCGCGCCCTGTGAGAAAGAGGAAAGGGGTCAAGGCTGGGCCAGGGACTCTGTCAGTTCTGATGCCCCGTGGTGGAGATGGTCACCCGGAAGCAGCCACCACACACACACACACAGACAGGATAGTTTCGTCCCAACAACACATGGCAGAATTATGCCAACACCGATGGATACTTGTGGACAATGAGTTTTCTGGAGGAAAAGTAAATGACTTTTCCCAGTGGACAGTTACAGTGTTCTGTTGATTTTCTACTTTCATCTTAGTGACATGGTTTTCACTGAATCCATTGTTTCCTACTTAAATACTACAGGTAGGATTTGACTCCCCCATTCCCATTTGGTCTACATTAAAATTTCCCAGTAACACCTTCAACCTTTCCAAATTTTCATTAATGGGCTTCACACCCAAAAGCTCAGTTTTCCCAGATCAAAGCCTGCAGCTCTGAATGTTCTTGGCTACTGTTTAAACCAGAATCCAGTTTTATTTTATTCTTTTACCAATACTAATGTTACGAAGCACTGTTGATCTATATTTGGTTCTTGTGAATCCAGAAGCCACTGTGAATCATGGCCCTTGGATACTTGACTTGCTTTTTGACCCAATGTGCCCTCCAATTTGTTACCCCGTCCTTTTCGTATGCTGGTGGCGCCAGCAGCAGATCCAAAGTGCCACCTGAGTCTACTGGGGCCTGTGTGCCTGTCCAAGCAGAAGGAAAGCAGGCAGTGCCCAGGCCTACACAGGGTCTCAACAGCCAGTCTTCACCAGGTGCCTCCTTTGTGCTCAGCCCATGCCCCGGTGCTCACTGCTATGCATTCAGGTATCAAACAAGGTCTCTGTCCCAGTAGGCCCTTGGTCTCTTAGAGGCTAATGATTCTAGAAGACAGTTGTGTTGAGAAAGCACAGAGGAGTAGGTGCCGACTAGCCAGGTTTCAACACATGAGGTTTTTTTTTAAGTTTATTTAGTTATTTTTTAAAAAATGTTTTTATTTCTGAGAAAGAGAGAGAGAGAGAGAGAGAGACAGCGTGAGTAGGGGAGAGGCAGAGAGAGAGGGAGATACAGAATCCTAAACAGGTTCCAGGCTCTGAGCTGGCAGTTAGCACAGAGCCTGATGCGGGGCTCGAACCCACGAACCGTGAGATCATGACCTGAGCCGAAGTCGGATGCTTAACCGACTGAGCCACCCAGGCGCCCCTATTTAGTTATTTCTGAGAGAGAAAGAGAGAGAGAGAGAAAACACAAGCGGGGGAAGGGAAGAGAGGAGGTGAGTCTGAAGAGAGGTCGTAAGGCACGCACAGGGGTTTGCCAGCTCGACCTGAGGGAGGAGGGGGTTCTGGCCAGAGGAGGGGCACAGGTAAAGACAAAAAGGTGAGAGTGAGCCCGGCCCCACTGGGGGCTGGTGAGAAAATCAGCACAGCGGAATCCAGGGTAGGCAGCAGAGAGGCTGAACCGACGGGCAGGAGGCCCAGCTTGAGTAGAGTGAATGCCAGGCCTAACGGCTGGGACAGGATTTTTCTTTATGGGCCACCCAGAGCCATCGGAGAACACGTTGAACTTGGCTGCCTGTGCTGTGTGGATTAGATAAGAACAGGGAGAGAAGGAAGTCCTGCAGACCAGTTAGGTGGTTACTGCTGATGGCCCGGAAGCACTGAGCGAGGAGGAGGAGGATGGGGGAGAGTAGGGAGGAGATTCAGATCTAAACTAAAGGTGTAGGGAACCAAATCAATCTTGTGGTGGCGGAGAGGGTGTGAGGAGGAAGGGATGGATACGAATGGGTTTCCAGCTAGAGCAGCTGGTAAGGCAGCACCCTTCACCAGTTAGAGCATTGGAGAAGCAAGGTCTGGGGAAGAGCTGACCAGTTCACAGTCGTAAGGGCCTGGGGGACCCCAGGAGCTGGTGTCCAGGAAGGTGCTGGGAATACGGGCCCAAGAAGCGGGAGAGAAGAACAGTCAGTGGCGTAGCAGCAAGCGCTAAGAGGCTGGCTGGACGTCGGCTGGCCCTGCTTTTAAATCCAGGTCCTACATCCGTAACTCGCCTGTTGAAAGCTCCACCTATCTGTGCCTTCGCTCCTTCACTGGGAAGCCAGGACCCATCCTACCTGGTTCCCAGCATCACTGTGAGGGTGAAGCCGGATGCGGATGCGGACAGCCCACAGAAAGGGCTTGGATGCTGCTGCCACAGACAGAGTGCTCAGCACGTGTCACAACAGTGGACTGAATGTATCTCCCCGAAATTCCTAACCCTTGGTGTGTGCTATTAGGAGGTGGGGCCTCTGGGAGGTGGTCAGGTCACGAGGGCAGAGCCCTTGTGTATGGGCTTAGCACCCTTATAGCGAGTCTCCTCAGAGAGCTCCCTCACCCCTTCTGCCATGTAAGGACACAGCGAGAAGACGGAGGTCTGCAAACCAGGAAGTGGGCCCCTACCCAGAGGCTGAATCTGCCAGCACCGTGATCTTGGACTTCCCAGCCTCCAGAACTGCGAGAAATAGAACTTTCTGTTGTTTCTAAGCCAGTCTGTCTCTGGTGGTTTGTTACAACAGCCCAAACGGACTGAGGCAGGTAGGCTGTGTTCCTGGCCGCGTGTCGTACGCAACACGGCGCCTGTAACAACCTGCGGATGCCTCGACTCTAATTACCACACAAAACCTGTCGGGGCGCCCGGACACCCGCATTTTTACAAAGCGCTCAGCAGGGCTGAGAACTACTATGCTAGACCAGGAGCTCCATGTCGGGCCTACCTCGTCCAACACCAGAGCCCCCAGCCTGGAAAAGGTCTATCGGTTTCTGGCTTGGGTGGAAAAGGAGCAGTGAAAGCAAGCAGAACAAGACGGGGGCCCAGGGTGCCGGCCTGGAGGGCTCCAGCAGCGGGGTCCAGCTCCCTCTCAAGAACCAGGCCTGACACTGGGTCGAGTCACGGCTCCGGGATGAGACTGCTCCACACCCCCCACCCAAGGTCTAGGTGACAGCAGGCCGCACTCATCAGTGGGCACCCATGGGACACCACCATCAGGGAAGCTGATGCAACATCCGAACCACGGAACCGGGGGCCACGCCCAAGTCCTGAAGGGGCCCAGGTGAGGGGCAATGCGGTCGGCTTGGGGGGGAGGGGTAGGTGTGGATTTCAGGGCTGATGGGCTGTAACAGGCCCAGATGGGGTGTCAGATCCTTTTCTACGAAGGAGAAATTCTGGGATAGGAAGAGCTGCTAAAGAACCAGTACAGACCAGGGAGCTGGAGTTTCGTCCTTTGCTACAAAAATGGCTCACGGGGCCAAAGACCCCAGCTATGGAAACCGCAAGGACAAAACAAGTACCGACCCTCTCCTGAAAGTCTAAAGCACACTGAGCACTGTGGGAAAGTGCATGGAAGTGATAGGGGCCTGGGTCTCAAACAGCAGCTGGGGGGGACGCCCAGATGCCCAGACACAGCCAGGAGACTGAGCACTCGGCCAAAGCCTCGGCCACTGAAGCAACAAGGGCTGGAGGTCAGGAGGACCCTGGTGGGCACAGCAGGATGGGGGCACCCGGGGAGGGAGGCCGTCCAAGCAGTGGTCAGAGGTGGCCTGTCCAGAGAATGACGGGCACAGCGGAAGCACTGGAGCCAGAGGGCACGCGCGGGGGTGACTTCCTGGCAGTGGAGGGAAAAGTCAGTACCGCGGTTCAATTACGGGAAGATTTTCAAGTTGTCTCAAAGAGGTCCTGGAGTGCCTCTCTGGGGCCTGCAGCCATCATGCACCTCGAGGCTCCCTGTGCCCCCTCTCCTCCCGCCCCTCACCCCACTCCTCATGTGGCTCTTTGTTGGGCCCCTTCAACTCTCCCCTGCTGACCACTCCATCACCAGTTCTTTATCTGTTCTCACCCTGACTCTCCTGTCTTGCTAGGGACCCGGCTCACACCCGAGATGGGCAGTGCGTGGCCGACATGTCACTAGGAACCATGCTGTGCTTCCCCGCTGGCCTGCTGGGGGCCGGTGGGGCAACAGACAAGCAGGAACCCAGAAAAGCCACAGGCCTGCTCATCCACGTGAATGCTCTTCTCCTTGGTGGAGGCTCAGGACTTCGAGTGGGAGAGAGATGAGGTCCTGAGAAGAAACTTCTAGAAACGTGGATCCGGGTACACTATGGGCACCAAGATGCTAAAAACCACATGATCCAGAGTAACAGTCACCTCCGTGGTGGTGGGGAGGCTGGGAGAGGAAAGGAGGGATACAAAGAGGCTAAACTGCCTCTGTAATGTTTTATGCATGAGGCTGGGGGCGTGAAGACATCATATTATCATAGCATCTATTATCCTTGGTGCCCTTTCAACTGTCTCAAGTGTTTTATTACATTTTTTCAAAAAAGTAGGAAAAAAAACAAAACAAAGCCAAAACATATGATCTGTAAAATACAGTCAGATGCCAGAAAAGTCTATGGTAGAAATTTTAAAGAGGGGCGCCTGGGTGGCTCGGTCGGTTGGGCATCTGACTTCGGCTCAGGTCGTGATCTCATGGTTTGTGAGTTTGAGGTCTGTGTCAGGCTCCGTGCTGACAGCTTTGAGCCTGGAGCCTTCTTCGGATCCTGTTTCTCCCTCTCTCTCTGACCCTCCCCACTTATGCTCTGTGTGTGTCTCTCTCAAAAAAAAGAACAACATTTAAAAAAAAATGTTAAAGCAAACAGATTTTGGTAGGCAAGGACCTAAATGGTATGTATAATGCCATTTAGGATGTACCTCTTGATGTTAAATATGCTATAAAAGTATATAGCTATTAGCATGGAGAACATCTATTACAGATGGCTAAAGGCACACATAGACTTCCAAATAGTATATGGCATATAAGACATTCTGAACATATCTGATAGCCCGCTGGCACTTGAATAATGTGGGGCTGAGGGGTCTATGCAGCCAAAAATCCACATATAGCTTTTGACTCACCCCAAACTGAACTACTAATAGGTTCCTGTTGACCAGAATACCAAAAACATGAGTAGTCAATTCATACATATATTGTACGTTATTTGTATCATAGACGAT